AAAAAATCACGACATTTTGTAAACCGAAGGACAGAGATGCGGTACTCCACTATAGTTCACGTCACGCAAAGCATGTGTATGTTGTGACCGCCTCATCACTGTTTCACCTGGCTCAAAGCTTGTGCACAGAATAAGATGGGGAGACCACCTAGAAGGAAGCAGTGGACCGATTGCTTGAGGATGGATACCAGAAGCAATAAGTGAAACATCAGTTACTGGGAATTTTACATCTGAATCTACTCGGCACGACGGCGGCTTGTAACGTGGGTCAGTTCAGACCGTTCCATGCATCACTTGAAGTGACACGTTGACCTGTAGCGCAATTTTCTTCCCAGTCTGCCATAAGTGCTACATTCAATCGTAATGTCGCCCCACAAACCACACGAAATGGGAGTTTTCAGACCCATCTGAATTCATGCGTCCTAGATTGGTACCAAGCCTTTTTCAAGTTACACCTAATCTGGCGGTAGAGGACTGTTGTGACCGATTAACACGACTGTGCACTTGACCCGTGCGTGAATGAAAGTGAGTGTAACTATGCCGACCATGAACATTTTCAGTGCGCACACTTTACAGTCGTGTTCCCCCTTAAAATACAGGTGGGAAGGAACGGCCGTTCAACCACTTCCAAGCACAGGAGGACCGGAGTTGGTACATTTGTTTGTCTTCTCCAAACGGACATTCGGTGGCAGGGCTGCTTAGCTCCTACGCACGCAGGCGCACTAATTGTTCTGCTTTAACTCGGAGAGGGGGTACGCGTGGTAAGTGAGACAATCTCTGGACTTTCAAAGGCACAGAAACCCCGGGTTGACTACCCGAAGGTGTGTGTGTGTGTGTGAATGACACGTCAGTGTTTCACATATGCGGCATGTGTTGAAATCTAGCCTGAGGGGAAAGAGAATTTCCTGTTTGGGTCAGTGGGTTCACGTCTAGGTCAGGGATGTCCGAATTCCGGACTGCGGGCCAAATGCGGCCCGCGTTAACATTTCAACTGACTCGCGGCCTCATCATGAAATAAGAAATTCAGACTTGAATTTGTTTTCCGTACATGTTAGTACCGTAATGACAGACATAATATGGTCCGACATGATTTTATTACACAAAATGTGGCGCTCCTTGCGAAAAGTTTGGATACTGCTAGTCTAGGTTGCCGAACCCAGTCGTACGCTGTTATACGTTGACAATAACAGGTGCTTACATGTGAATGGAATGCTTAATCTATTTGGGGCCAGAGTAACCCACGTACAGCAGAAGTTGTTATCGTGACCAACAAATTCTCTCTGCTCGCATGAGTTGATTCTCATTGCAGACAATGATCCGTAATCCACCACGGTATTATATAAGTGATTTTCAGTACCTTCAACGCAGTGGCCCCATGGAATCAGGTGGTCAACTGCAGTGTTTCGCAGACAATGTTAAGTGGGCTATGTGTGACCCGAGGGAAGAGAAAAATATCATCGTGAATTCGCACGGATATCTTGGTCCTGCTTGGAGTGACTATTGGGACAGTCACTAGACACAGTTATGTCCGCATTCCAACACAATGCAAGAGTGAAGCCGAGCTAAGCATAGGATGCCCATTAATGCGAAGGTGTATGGTTGCGCACACGGATCTATTGTTGCTGTCTCGATTTGTTTAAACGAGCGACGTATATTCAGATATGCTTATGTCAAGATTTTAAACACAAACCCTCTTGTTGCCCTATTCGCTGACGCGTGTTTTAACGCACAGTTCCGTTAATCTCATTGGCTGTTTTGGGTTGTACCTTTTGCACCCGGAGCACACTTCTGCTCTGACAACAAACTTTCAGCCGCTACTCTCCTTGTGTGCACGCGATTGGTCCTATATTTGCTCAAACCATATTGAACTTTACAGTTACGCGCTTTCAATACTCTGCCTGGTTTTACAGTTACACATCTGTCAGCTTTCATGTTATATAACAGTGCCGATTTCCTAAGAACAGCATTCTAAACCCTGTCCCAACTTGTTCGTGGAAGCAGTCGTGGGCCCGACGCGGCATCTCAAACATTCAGTAAGATATGGTTGTATCATATGTCTGGATAGCCACTCGTTGAGATCACCATTAACAAATCCATGTGGACCAGAGTTGTGAAACAACCGAGCAAAGCTCCATAGTTTACCCCAAACTTGACAGCCAACGACGTCACTCATATGTGAACTCCTCCTCCGAGGTTAGTGTTGGTGAGCTCTCACCTTGTCGAGCGCTGCTTCCGTGTTTCTTCTTGGCACGCCTCCATGTTCGACTTCTGGATGTTGTACTTGTGTTAGATCGTTGGTTTAGTTCTCAGCTAACTCCTTTCATTCCACTGTACCGAGCTTCCCACGCGACTGAATCTTGGCGCCGTTGTATGTATTCTCGGCACAAGACTAGTGCACTTGTACACTAGCCTTGCCTCAGCGGTTGGAACCCCTGCCCTATAATGCTTACCGATGACTAGATAGACATTGCTCCGTCTACGCTCCACAGAACTTGCGAGGCTGATGCTGTATTTTACATGTAGTTCATCGCAATCATTTTTTCTCAGAAGCACCGACTCCTTTTGTTCTACCCGCGGGTTGATAGCGCCTACAGACATTAAAACAGAAATCGCACTGCGCTGAATGTGTTAGTACGGGATCGACGGATGTAACAGTTTTTCCGTCATCCCGTACGATCAATTTGAATGAGATTGGGCGCCACAACACCAAAGGGACTCAGTTCTGAAATCAGACCCAACAGAACAGGTTGCATCTTGTTGTGGCTCCAAGTCTCGTGACCGAAGCAGCGATAGTCCAGTCGGTGGGTCTCGAACCTACAGTTGAACGGACTGAAGAAGATGTGAGGTTCGAAAACGTGAAGCTGGTGGGGACGCACGTGTACCAGCACTTTAGCAGATCAGATAGTCGAGGCACCCGGATGGCTATTTTTCAGACGGACGTACATCTTCCACAGAGGCCATCAACAGTGAACACAATAGGCGTTTTCGAATGACGGGTTGAGTGAAACTCAGTTGCGTTTGTAATTGACTTGGTTCATTGGTTTATAGAGAGCAGAAAGAAAGCCCTTTGTCAGTGTCATTCAATTCGATCCCAATGCACGTGGTGCAGAAATCAACCGGACGAAGCACGTGTGTGTATACATCTACCTCTTCCGATACATTGTGAATGAACAGGCGGAGTGAAACGGAGAGTCGGCAAGTTACCACGAAGAAAGTGCACAAACTGGCCAGAGTTTCTACGTTCGAACTGTTGTGTTATCTAGACGTGGGTTCCGTAAAACACAAATCGTCTGCAACGCGTTACCTTTTAAACGTACAGTGTACTAACAGGAAGCATTGATGTAACTGCGTTTGAACAAGGTCGTGAAATGGACACTCATTGTCCTCAATTTGGTACCTCTATTTGGAGTCTCGCGGAAATTGTGCCCACCTTCAAGAATGGTGTCCGGATGAATTGCGCTAACCACAGAGGGATTAGTCTCATCTGCGTTGCATCTAAAGTGCTCACCATCCTGCTTTTAAGGAGGCTTAGCCTGGTACGCGAACAAAACATGCGTGGAAATCAAGCTGGGTTCAGCCCCGGCAGGAGTTGCAGCGTCCACATCTTTACACTCCGTCAAACACTCGAGCGTCGTCAAACGTTCGGCCGGCCAACGATCGTTGTCTTCTTAGATATGGGAGCCGTATTTGACTCAGTTGACTGAGTTGCTCTCTGGAGCTGTCTCTTAAGAAGGGGAGTGCCAGAGAAGTAGGTCAACATTCTTAGAGCTATTTACTTCAGAAACGCGGGCAATGTGTTTGTGTAGGGCGAAGTTTCGCCCACCATTTAGTGTCACCAGTAGCCTGAGAAAGGGCTGCCCTGCATCTCTATTCCTGTTTACTTTCGCTATAGATGACATGTTGGAGAGCATTCTGGAGTATTGTGGGTCCAGCGGCGTTGAGTTGCTTCCGGAGGACCGACTTCGGGATTTGGAGGATGCATATGACATCGCCGTAATATACCATAACTCGCAGGCCGCCCAAGAAGTCCTATATAGATAGGTGCTGTCTGTCTCCTAGTTTGGAATGAACTTCGCCCCCTCAAAATGTAAGATCTTCCTACAGGACTGGTCAGGCTTAGCTCCTATCCTTAACCTTTCAGATAATTCATTGGAACTGATAGACAAGTTCGTTTGACTCGGAAGCTGCATCAGCGCTAACGATTTAACCGATGAGGTCTCCTTTGCGCCTCTCTAAGGCCCGGTTTGCTTTTGCCAATCTTCGCCATCTATGGCATCGTCGCGACCTGAGTCTATCCTTGAAGCACCGAGTTTACAATACCACGGTGAGAGCGGCCATGCTCTACGGTTGCGAGAGGCGTTGTCCACGCAAAGGACGTCTGTATTTAATCATCGCTGCCTTCGGAGCATTGCTGGTGTACACCAGCACCTTAACCACATTAGTAATGAGGATGTTCGCCGAGGGATTTCCAAATCGGACAGACTTTTCCGGCCGGTGAGCCGTATAATTTCACTACACAAACTTTGTTGACTCGGGCACTAGTTTCGCATGCCTACTGAGCATTTTACTCACCATGCATTCTTTGCGCGTACAGAAGTCGGCTAGGAGCGAAGACAAGGTGGCCAGCGAATGACTTGGGCCGCGGTTGCGCGCTCGACTTCCCGGTCGGGGGCGCAATGACCATGAACACACTTGGCTAGAAACGACATCGGGCATGTCAAGAAGCCGTGAGCAATGGCGAATATGTTGTGAGACTTTACCCCTATGACTCCACTGTTACACTAATTTTATCCTCTGTATTTCCTCATTATTACTGTGTTAACTTATTTGTCCATAGGTTGTTACACTCTGCCAGTTATATTGGTGGCTGTGTTCAATAGATAAATGTACCCCAATTGGACAAGCTATGATCACGTGTAGAGATCTGTACGATACCTAGAAATCTAATGTTTCTAATGGCATGTGAGAAGCACATCCTGCGAGTAGTAGCGGCAACTTACCCGCATGCTTGAGAATTCCATTAAACCGGTGAGTGGGGGAGCCAGCCCAACACCAGGCACAGCAGCGCTTCCAGCCAAATTGGACAGGCGGGGCCACGGGTTTGTTTGGTTCAAATCCAATATCGCAAAGAGCATCGCCCGCCCGACCTCTTCGAAGTGAGCCGGTGTGAAACGTACGGGTGCACTAGGGGTGGTATTTGCAGTAGGGGCAACAGTGGTCGACGGTTGCTGTTGCTGGTTTGGTTGATTGTTTGAAGCCTCTGTACACAAACTTAATCCAGGAAGCGGCCCGTTCCCATTGAGAGTGCGTATACCATGAGAGTTAGCAACATCAGTCCAGTAAGGTCCGACGAATGTCCCTGGTGGTGTTAGGCGACCACCTTCATCCGGAGGAGCTGCGTAAAGGCATCGAGCAATGCGGCTCATCATGGGACCTGATGAGGGAATTGGGGGACGGGAGGCGCAAGAGGGAAACCAAAAATCGCAATCATTTCATATTCCATCTGTTGGCACAGTGAAACAAAAAACAGTTGGAGGAGTCATTTTTGGAACATGGTGTGAAAGTGGATGGCAATCTCAGCAATATTGTAATTCACTTTGAGGCAAACATTGGACACTCCGGTCACTGGGGTCGCAGCTGGTGCGAGCGAATGTCAGATACTGCCTGTACGTAATGCCGCACCCCAAGGGGGCGCTTTCATACTTGTTTGCACTCATCAGGTAGAGATTTCAGCTGGTGTGCCAAGGGTTCGAGTCACAGCCCTTGATTGTCTACTGAATGAGTGCAAAAAAGCACGAAACCGGTGGACTATTCACACACAAAGCGACGAAAACAGAGAGCTCTAGTTATGATCGATGACTTTCTTTGAGTGTAGCGGTTATGGATTGTAGAGCAAACTGGCTGGGCGGTTATTAACGGATTAGTCTTCAGTCCATGTGATTTGTACCAGGCGTTGTCTCATTTCCGGACTTTGTTATTCCACCACAAGTGTGCTTGAATTGTGACACGCAATCTAACGTTGGCCCCGATTTATCACAGAGTGAACTTCGATCACCCCGCTTATTTGCACGGCATCCGAAGTGCAGAGTTCTTACTGTTCCTTACTCCCGCGACTGCACTTTCCGTGCAATTCCGTCCTTGTTTGGCCGCATCAAGTACAAACCGCAGCAGACAGCAATGAGAGCCGGAACCTAGTGACTAACGGCCGGTGACTTGGTCACTAGGCCCATAGTTCAAATTGAAATGGTGCGCCGCAATCCAAATGTAGTGCAAGGTTTCCGAAACACGAAACTGAATCATAACCACTGGATTAGGCATTATCCACGGTGTTCAGTAACTTGGTGATAAAGGCACTGACAGACAGCCGCATGGTTTTCGCTTCCGGTCACGTATAAGGTTATCTCCACCTCTTGGTCTACCCTGGTAGTCCAGTAGTAATTACAAACGAACCTGTATGGATAGAAGGTAGAATTTTGCGACTACAATGTATTCATTTAGAATAAATGTATTGTATAATTTAGTACCTTTAACAAAGTTGAAACTGACATCTTAGTCATTTTTCAGCAAAATAATAGTACTGCTTTAATACCCAACGTAATCATTTTCGGTTAGCTACGGTTCTATTTTGTTTTTGGGCCCCCTACTTTTGCCGCCTGTAGTGCATTTGTTATAGGTCATTTACCTTTGCATCCGGATTCCGAGTGCAACTACTGATAGAATTGGGAGCTACTCCTTACCTTAGTGCAACTTTAACACTACAAAATGTACCCTGTTTGGTCACTGGATTCACTTGCCACATATCTTGTCGCTTATCTCATCGGTCCATTTAGGGAGAAGATGGTGATCGCCAGAATTACCGTTGAGTTGGACTGACTAGGAATGCCAATGTTTCGATCACGATAGAAAGAGGTATACAACTAACAACCAATTAGAGTCTTGTGCTACAAACAGAGAAAACTGTAGTGAAGTAGGAAGAAAAAGCAGGGCTGCCCGAGCCCCGTCAGAGGGGCGTTTCCATTGGCTAAACCCACAGTTTGCGACTGGTCAGTGGTAACATGAAACGTGCCCTTTCGTTCTCAAATGCACGAGATGTTTCCACCTTACTCCCTACTCTTGCTTTAGAATCATTTGGTGGATGGCGTAGAAATGAACGGGCAATATGCCAGCGGGGTAAAGGAAGATGACATCGCCGGTGGAGTGTTGGGCTGGGGGGACCGAACAGTGCCGAACACTCTCCGCTTCATGTTGTTTAGTCAGCTAGATCTTTCCATGAGGTCATCAACCGGTCAAGTTCTCGGAGCAGTTTGTGAGGATTGTGCAGTGGGCCTACAAAACGCCACCCATTGCATGTCCTCCAAATTGAAAAGTGCACTCATATCTGGGCTAATTACCGCAATTTATATTGACTGCCGTGAAGGAAAGCCGGTCGAAATCACAGACCTGTGTCGACAGCACCAATGTGTACTTCAGCTGGGCACAGTGTTAGAGGAGCAATAAAAATGCAGGTATGCTAGTTTAATCGTTCATATCTGAAGGATTTCGTTTTGAGCTGGTGGTTCACAGATGTTTGTTTAAACGTTACGTTTCACTATTCCTATGTGCTATTTGGCACCGTTATTTGTGTCTTCAGATTGCATCCCTACTCCGACGTCATCCTTCTCACTTCCGGTCTTCGTGTGTACCAGATTTGTTCCTCATTTGCTCAGTCTTCATTGGATTTACTTGTCCGCATACCTTCAGTACTCTGGTTGGTTTTCACACTCGTGCGGGAATTCTTGTCCCTGGTCATTTGTGTTCTCACTACCGTTAGAGAGTGGAAGCAGTCGCGGGGAACGACCTAAAATACAGGCCACAATTCAGCTCAATGAGGCGAAACTAAGGGCTCTACTTTGTCGCATGCAACAATTCCTGGGAGACAATTGGTTGCTATTCTGACTGGCATGGACCAGAGCCAATACCAGGGACAAGTTGCTATCGGAGCAAGGTGGCCGTAGTACTTCTGACATTACCCACTCTATATTATACTTCCAGTTTCAAGGAAAAGTTGGTAATAATCCATGTCGTACAGATGGAATACAAGAACGGGACCACTGGTTACCTGAGTTATAATTGCATTCCATTGTGTAGCAGTGTATCAAACCGAGATGTTTCCAAATGGCCACACGACCGGAGCCTTCTTTGGTCAGGTTCCCCTTCCGATCACGCTGATACATGTTCCGGACACTGAAGTTGCAACCGCCAAAATCGAAACAACCCGAATTGACACCGATCAGCACTGCAAACAGCACATTATTGAGCTGGAAGCAAAATTGGACATTCTGTCACAAAGCCAGTTGCCATATGCTCTCTGCAATTCACATGGAAGCACGATGTTTGGTATTAAACGAATATGGTCAAATAACTCCAGCACAAATAACTTATTTGTTGTGGCATCACTGTTGCGTATGATACCGGAATAGCGCAGTTCGATCAGCTGTCGTCTACCGTATCAGGGTTAATGCAGACGCTGTGTGGGCGATGTGTTTAGTTCACTACTCATTGCGTCATCATCTGAGTCTATGGACTATGAGAAGCTGAGTGGAGGATTAGACGAGTGTAGCTTCATGGCATTGGAGATGCCCAGTTATACAAGTGCTCCTTTTATATGTCCCAATAAGTGAGAGCACAGGATGCGGAAAGTGTGAGGGTAAGTTGGAGTGAATGGAAGCATTTCCGTATATCAGTATGAGAAATAAAACAATCGCCAACGGAGCCAACACGTGCTAAGATGATCAAAAGCCCATGAAGAGATGGAATTCGTTCCTTTCTCCAAGTAACTCGTTTTCAAATCGAACAGTGTTAGTTAGCGGGTTCCACAATCACACCGGATGCTGATACCAATGGCCCCACCACCAAAGAACACACTTCAACGTTCACGACGACTATAGCTTAAGGTATTCATCGTGCCAGTCGTTCAGAGTTGACAGACTTAGCAAGTATATAGCAAGTACTCTAACGGTCAAAAGCCTTCACCAAATAATAGGGGCTCCGCTACATGCTACGCCAATCAAGCTATATGTCTAACAACCGTGTATGAGCCTAGAGATACAGTAGCCTGATCTAAGATGAAGTGGATGCTGTTCATCTGCTTCTTGGCTATACTCAGAAGGGCAAACGACTGTCTTCGGTCATAACAGTTAGTGTTAAGTTCTGCGCACATTTGGGATGACAGTTTACCGAATTTGTACTGTAAGCTGATGACAAGTGACTATGATTACTACAGATTTCAAGACAAAGAAGCTCGTTAATGACAAATCGTGAATGTAACAGAGAGTTCAGTTCATGAGCTGGAAACCGTATACCGAAATGTTTTGGGTACATCTGCATTGACTCCTGTCCCCATGGTCGCAATCATTGTGGTGGAGGATAAAATGCGTTACATCACAGTTAGCTTGTAAATTATGACCGCTCGACATTGTCCCCCGTGGCCAAATGGCATAAGCTTCTGAGTGACGGTGCAAACAGCTGGTGGCCAGGGGTTTGTGCTAGTGAGATCACATATGTCAGCCAAGTAGACGGCTAGTGCAAATCGATCGATTTCCAGCGAGCGTGTTTGCATGTCAACTTGGAATTTTCGGCCAACCCAACGGCACGTGAGAATCTATTGGTTTGGAGCAACGTAACTGAACTACCGTGTTTTCCGGACAGTTGGTTACAAATTCAGTTTGTGGGGTGCATGGTTTCAAACAGTGTCCCTCCTGTCTTTCTACTACTCAGCGAGAGTTATAACAGTTTGAACCCTGACACATCCGATGGATGCGCACTAAGGATGATGCCCGACAGATCGAAACTGCAGTTTAATGCCTTTCCGGGCATGTTGAGGACTATTCCATTTGGTTGCTGGTGCAATGAACTCTGAATTAATTGCATCGAAAATCCTTCTACTCATGCATAACTGTTGTGATTGGTCACCACAATTCATTGCATAGCAGGTGATGCACGTGGCTCACGATGTGAAGAAAAGGTGTGTGTGTGTGTGTGCATGGGCTTTGTATACAGAATACATACGTATCGTGTACTAACATCGACACTAACCATCTCGGTAGCAGGAGTAGCGGTAATAATTACCGACCAACTGGAGGGAGCGAAATTTGGAGTAGTCGGGCAGCACGGTTAGAAATAGGCACTAAAGTAACTTAGGCAAGAGAGCCCCTGGTTTTAATGACCGCATCATATTCAAACAAGTATGCACTCCATGGAGTGTACTGTCCCCAGAACATTTATTATCTCCGATTCTGCTATTTTGTTGTATCGTCACCAACTGCTCGCACGCACCACATGAGCGCAATGCGAAGACGAAAGATGAGCCAGGACAGACTGGTAGACATGAAGATATTGCTTCGAATATATGGAGCACAAATAATGGCCTAAGTAAAGTTACTCAAACACATCCAAGCCAACCAAACTTGGGAAAAGCTGAGTGACACGGGCCAATGTGAAGGGATAAATATAAGAACCGATCACGTGCGCCCGGGAAGACGATATTAACGGAACTTGGACCGTAAAATAAATATCTAAGAACAACGTATACTGGCCAATCAAACTAAACGAATGACGCGTTTAAACAAATGTCAAGAAACGGGCGATAATAAAAATTGGGGTAGTCACAAAATTGCGAAACATGTTGGCACCCTCCCAATATATTTCGATGGGTTTCCATATGGTTGGCGGCATCCGGTTTCGGATTTGCCTGTCACTGTGGCAAGCCACAGGACGCCTGCGCCTACAGAGGGACCATGGATGGCTTGCGCTGCACCACCCACAGCTCCAACCACATACCCCATATCCAGTGTAAACCCGAAGGAATAAGACCGGGAGGCATGTGGATGGGAACCACGTTTCATCAACGGAGCCGGCCCACACTCCTTCACAGGCAAACACAAGCATGCTGTATTTGGGGAATCAAGCGCACACAAGGCGGTGGCTGGACCGTAGTCCGCTCCACACTGGGTGCATGGAACCGCTCTTTGAGCCTAGCACGGCCACAAGAACCGTGCATCCCGTCCCCTCCAGCAACGACCAACTGTCTCCTGGAGCCAGTATGAACGAGGTAGTGGGTAATAGACAGGTAGGCACCTTGTCAACATACACATCAAGCGCAACCATACCAGGGATATCAAACAACAGCCATTCACTTTAAACGACAAGCTAAATAAAATAAATCCAATAATGCATACAGATACGGTGGCATAACTCTTCGCTAATTTACCATATGAAGTAATTTGGTTAGCAACAAATCCGTGATAAGTAAGAAATGTCCACAAGTTACTTAAAGGGCTACAAACGCAACAAAGTTACCGAAGATAAGCGCAATTAGTGTAAGCAACGTGGCCAGTTAATAGAACATTATTCAGGGAGGCAGAACAAACCAAATAAAGCGGAATGAAATTTATCCAGCTTAAAAAGACCTAGTTTAAGTGTAAGTTGGTTTAGCCCAACTGCGGTGAAGAAGCATCAAGAATGCAACATCAGCCTCAGCATGGGTTTCCATATACTCGCCCAAAAACCACCGGTGTTGATAAACATCCTATACCGGATAGCCGGAGTGCATGGGTATCCACCGTAGGCAATTTGCATTTATCAGGTATCCAAGGAAAACACCAGAGTTCTTAACATCAAGAGTCAAATGACGAAGCGAATCACTGATTCGGCATTGCCAACGGGCAAACAAACGACATGGAGTGTATTGTTCATCACGAATTGTTGACGATTCCGATCAGTTTTCTAACCTTCCGCTCATTATCAGTGATAGCTGATACGGCAGTGAAAGCTGACATCTCGGTCTCACGGACGGCGAATACAGTCGTTGCGTAACCAACTTCGAGGCTGAACGTTTCGCCGAAGATAGAACAGCCGACATTTTTTGTGGACTCACGCGTAGAGGCAAGTATTTCAGACAGACGGACAAACTTACACTGTCCTGCACCATCTGAAGCTGGAGTCGATCTTGAAGCAATGGTAACCCGCCATTCGGTAGCTACAATGCAGTATGACGCCTGTTCTTTATCACAGACCGTACAAATGATGTACAGTTAAGATCCGCGCACTGTCGGACAAAGTGATTACCATTGTCAATACAATAAGCATCGAACACAAAACGATTTCTGAATCGATGTTCTGCTTGTAGTAGGTCACCGAATCGAACGTTTATGTTGCCCACAACAAATACCTTCGTACTTTGTGCGGTTCGGGCAAAGGAAGAACTATACCAACAGCTTTGCTCTTTGAATGTTTCCAGCGACATTTCGGTGCGAAAGTAGGCTGGTACGACACAACCAATGATTCGCCTTCGACCACTTCCTAGAGACCCCACCAGATCACCTAAAAAGGTTTGTAAAGTAGTGCTTCTTATCATGTATAAAGTCGTTGTTCATTGTTCCGCAGCTCTAACTGTTTGCATTTCTGCCTTTCAGTCTATCTTTCCACCCGTCCCTATGGCTAACATTCCATCAGTCTGCCAGATGAAAGAAATCTTTTAAATTGTCCGGCGTGCAAAAGTATGTAGCTACTTTCAGGGATGAAGACAGAAAACTGGTATATTGATTTTCCATCGAAGTACCCGGATCCGCTAATTTTTGTTTCCCAAGACGATTGCCCAAGTTTCGTATGTAGGAGTTACGTTACTGTTTTCTGCCTTAATTTCTAAATGCCGTTTATCGGAACGCTGCATATATGCATGCAAGACAGCTGTTCACGCACCACAAACATTTGTTCATACCAGTTTTCAGTTATTTAGACGGAGCACTGATTTTATTCTACACATCAACTTGTGTTTTCTTCTTCGTTATACGCAATTTGAACCATACCATAGGTGACCATGCTATAAACCAACGCAAAAATAGGGTTTATGGCAAGATACGGTGCATTTTGTGCCTACTTAAAGGCATCTGCTTAGTTAGCATCTGCTTTTTCACTTGAAGTTTTGCTTTGAAGACTGGTGGAACAACTTTACCATCACTGAGTCCACCTTTCTATCCATCTATACAAGTGTGGCTGTGGTGAATCTCTTTTGAGGGACACCTATCTTACAGCCAACAAAACACATCTCTTCCAATTTAGTACCACATTATCAGTTGTCTGAATTTTCCAGCTCATCCGCATATACATAAAGTAACTGTTCATTTAGCTTCATGATGATAATTCCACTTTCGAGTAAGGCAATTGTTCTTTACTTTAAAACAAGCATTTCCCTTTATAATTCCGAACATAAAAATCAGAAGACGGAGACTGTGAAACAACGCCGTCATTTTGTACTTGTTTATCAAGCACTAAAACATGCAACATTGGGACATAGATAGCAAAACGCATAGGCTACGACAGTAGGCTTAAAGCCACTTTCAGCTATTTTTGAACGCACAGCGGTGGTCATTCGCGATCGATAACGATAGTCTTCAGTAGCCTACGGATTTGGGCCGCTGATGGCACATTAAGGCTGTGAACGGCTCATCAGGATTGACTCGGTGATCAGTAGTCAGCAAATGTCTGTTGCCTGCTGAGGTAGCTCGGTTTCCCGAGTCAACTGATTCCGTCGTCACAGTTCCCACTGCGGGGATTTGTTCATTGATTCTGACACCTAGACTTCGGTCAGTGCACCCGAGGTAGCTGTCTCTACAGCTACGGGTAAATTTGTCAAGACAGTGGGACATGCAGTGAATCGTCGTCGGTGTCTTAATCGAACACATTAGCATAGGTTTAGTCAAGATGAGCAGACGTAATTCCGCCGTGTTGTACGCTTTTTTTCACCGAGGCACTTAGGCATTGTAGCCTTTGAAAGGTATCTCAATGAAAATGGACTTCCTGGGGGACTGCTGGTGCACGATTTTGCTTGTTTGTTTTACAGTAGCGTTGAATACACTTTGACGGATAACCGTTGGATTGCAGCATGTTGAATAACAAGTGCCATTCTGCTCCTATGGTGTCTGAGGTGCAAATCATGTTGGCCCAATAAAAGTGTGTTCGGATAAGAGAGCGTTTATGTTGGATTGGAGTGAAACTTGTAAAATGCAATTATTGGCCAGTACAGGCCGGCTTTCTGTAGACAGACCTGCTGGAACAGTCTGGCTGTCGTGTAATTAGAACGTCTGGATCTTCTTTAAGCATGGCCACACATTTCGGGAGAGCCCACCGTCGGGTGCTGTTAAGATAGTTAAGATTAGAAACCAATCGGGTTTTATGCAAAAACATACGATCATGCACATGCTGATAACATGCCCACAAAACATATGCGTTTTGCATCCCCATCGGCTTTTAAGAACCGTAGTTTCTGTGACGGGATCATAACTTCCTCCTGAAGTTAGCGCTATCTCTCTAGTTTCTCGTTGGTCGCACCTGATTTGTGCGTGAGTTGGTAGATTTACAATGGCTCTTCTTACTCAAAGGTTCTCAGTGCCCTCCTTGTCTCTGAAATTTGCGCATCTGTCAGTCTTTTCCGTATAGCAACAGCGTAGTTTCGGATGAAGAGAACATTGTTCTCATTGCTACAGTGGGTATAACTGGTCGCGGGGACAACCATACAGTACGTAAATCTAATTATCATGGAAAAGATTAAGTGCGATGGAACACAGGAGTTTAACTGTTGAGGATTTGCTGCAAGGAAGATCAATTCGTATTAATCTAAGCGGAGGACTGCAAATAAAAACGGAAGCACAAAGAGGCTTACCATGTCGTCTTCCCGCTCCAGCCAATTTCCATACAAGAAACACCCTCTCTTCGAACAGTGGCCATGAAGGTCCAGATAGAAAGCGACCCCGCTCGATCCTTTGAAACAACGCAGTACTGGATCCGAAAGATGGTCGCCCTTGCGCAATCGGTGCAGTTGTTCCAGCACGTGTCCAAATTCCACAGTGGATGGTGCATCCGGTGTGCCGTTGCATATGTTGTAGTGTTCAACGAATACTCTGAGCTGATCCATCAGGTTGAGGTAATGTGCGTTGATCGATAGATCATCCGTTTCGGCTTTGGGAATGTTACCTGGGGCGGTGAAAATGAGTGGATGCTCAACGATTAGTGTCACCTGACACAGATTCTCAGCGAACGACACTGTTGCATTTGCTTATACTTCCAATGAAGGAAGCGCAGCCTATCGGGACAAATTCACACTGCGTATTCCAATTTTGTGTGACTACGGCGACAGTTAGATAGGCAGGACCGATAAGACACGGATTTCCCAAATAAATGGGAATGTGCTGAAATGGGTTCAGCATGAATTTGCTTAAGTTTTCTACCCGTCAAATTCCGTGCTCGTGTAGACCGTCAGCTTTTTAGATGGGAAACACTTATTCATCACGGTTCGCCGGATAGAGCTAGGCTCAGCGATCAAAATTGTTTTACTTCACGTTAATCCCCGCTTCCTTCGGTTCCTTGAGGTTGCCGACAAAAGCCGGATGAATCCAGCCCAGTGAGTTCAGAAACACTTATGTGTCAGCCTAAATCTACCATAGACGTAGGGTTGAAATCCCGTCGTTCACCCTGCATCTCAAGCTTGTCTGATGGCACCCCAGGTTCCCTAAATCTATGCTTATCGGTTATGGTTTATGATACTGTGGAGACAATACAGATTGCATGCATCTAGCAGCACTCGTCTTCTTTCCGTGTTTTTCAGACTTTTGAAGTGGTTATAAAGATGGACGCTGATGCTGGGATTTACAAGCATGGAGAAAAAGACAGCTTTTCCTTCAGCAATACTGGTCGAAATCACTGGTAAATGATGAGAGTCGAAGTAGACAAATAGTCAGGCGAAATTGTGACCAGCACTGGTCCATGGACTCAATTTCACTTCTTTCAAAGTGCATGTGACGACGACCCCATCATGCGAGGTATGCAGGCAATAGGCTGTAGGAGAAAGTGGGGTGCTAGGGTGGACACTGTACAATAGTTTCTGTTTAGTGTAATACGGCTACCGCCATCCTTTTAACCATAATAGATGTTGTGTCGCTGCTGACGCCTTCACCCCACGACCGCAAGAAGAAGTCCAAAGATGAGCCAGAAAGGACTTGTATACATGAAATCACAGTTGCTTATATAGTTTTGAAGGTAAAATGATGGGAAGCTACTAACTTACCCTTAAGCCAACCAACAGAAGGGAAAACATCAAATGCAACGAGCGAATAAGCAACCGTGTACTCAACAGCGAATCGCATATATCCTTGAAAATAGCATCATGGGACTCCACTTACAGTGACGGGCACTGGCCAATCAGAATAACGAAATGTAGCTTTCAACCAAAGGTCACGAAACAAACGAGAGTAAGAAACGCAGATCGAAAAGTTAAAAACTAGTACAATAATCGTGCGACAACTAAATATTCCTTTAACATAACCAGGTAGAACAGTGATGAGGAGAAAAACCAATGAAAGATGTTCTTGCAAATGGCACTGCTGAAAAGGACACGACGATGAGCATCCATTTACAATGACGTGTGTGGACCAATCGGGCTAACCCACTAAAGCGTTTAAACAACAGTTAAGAAGTAGAAAATAGGAAGAATAAAAAATGGCTGTTAGGCTTGTTCACAAGAAATGAATGTCTAATAGCTATTCTCCTAATAATAGACTACATAGGCTAGTGACGAAATCGAGTGATGTAGTTAAGCACAATTGCTATTTCGGCTGTCATAGACAACGGAAACAGTGTTGTAATCTTGTTCCTGGATACGCAAAAAGTCTTTGATAGAGTGCCTCACAGAAGCTTACTGAACAAACTGAAGACTATAGGCATTGGAGAACTGATGTTTTCTTGGTTGTATTTATATCTAATTGGTAGACAGCAGGTAGTTCGGATCTGCGAGCATTTCTCTAAACCGAAAGCAATCACTAGTGGAGTGATTCAAGGGAGTGTTCTTGGTCCATTAAGTTTTCCAATTTATATTAACGATACATTCCAGAGAATAAGAAATGGTGTTGCATTTATCTTTGCTGATGACATTAAAGTTGTCTACTCACAACCACGTGCAAATGCTCAGGATGTCGTACGTCTCATACAGAATGACCTATCTGCCCTTGACTCCTGGTGTCAACTGTGGTAGATGTCATTTGCCGTGGACAAGTGTAATATTTTGTCGTACAAATGCCAAGTACCGCCAGACAGTTTAATACTACAAGCCGCATATATCTCGCAATGCAGGGTAGTTCGCGACTTGGGCGTGCGATATTCAATCACGTTTAACTTTTCAGAACATTGTGACTTCAAGTTTGGAAAGCCACGAAGACCATTTTTACCTCACGCAATCTCGTATATCGCTTTACAAAACATACCTATTGCCGTGTATAGAATATTGTTTAGGGCTTCAGTCTAACCTACAGCAATCTGACCGGCATGCTCTTGAGAGGGTCCAGAGACGCTACACGAAAAAGCTATGTGGATATTCCTCAAACTTGACATGCAGAGGGCGATGTGATAAACTTGAATTTGACCCAGTATTTTTACGGAGAATGAAACTGAACCTATGTTTTCTTTACAGTATAACAAACCGTCAAATTCGCAGGCAGGATAACGGTGTTCAAACATCTTTAAACAGCAGCTATCTAAGCCGTAACAAAGAGGGAAAGGTCTAGATTCCAACATTTACTACGAGAATCAGGGAACGTTGCTTTCTAACCCACTACACAAAGATTTGAAACAAATTTCCAAGTGATATCAGAACATGATATATACTTCGCAATCCTAGGCTAGTGATTAGTAAGCAGTTAACCGTACAAAATGTAATTAATATGTTCGGGACATCACAGGTCCTACATAACGCTTTCGAAAAGCGTTTCGTTGGTGCCTGAATAAACTTTCGAAACACATACATCACTAGAGTGGTAAATGATTGGAACGGCCTACCGGAAGAGATTGCAAACGCGCCATCCGAGGATAGTTTCAAGCGGCTGCTATTCAAACATTCGCTGGGAATGCTGCAACGTTGCAGCTGTCACTGTAATTGCGACGAACCATCAAGGAACGTCGTAAGGCAACGACACGCATCCAACCCGGTATGATAGGGAATCGATGGGGCAAACAAAGGATTCCCCACCTATTCCCTACAACTCAATGAACTCAATACACATAACATGTCGGACAACAGACCTTTTCATTGCATTGCATTTGTTCACGGCCGCAACAGCTGTCATGTGACTGTGAAGAATCCTGGTTCATTGACAGGAAAAAATACCAGAACGATCCTGATTACTTCGTGTTACCTAATTGGAAAGTGCATCCATGTTAATTTCTGAAAAAGTATTAATGCAATGTCATGGAAAGTTTGTACCATTAGCTGATCTGTTCCTTCCAGGGAATAGCTTCTCGCATCGTCGAGGACTATACAATCTATGTATTTAAATTGTTTGCCTTTTCACTACTCAAGTAGCTGATAGTTCGCCGCCATCACTTGCGGCTATCTGATGAGTTGCACGCTTTGCTGCTACGCGCTCACGCTCATCTACCTTCTGTCCGTTGTGGCTCTCTGCAACCTATACGACGAATCCAACTACCATGCTCCTCTCCATTGCTCGTACATGACGCCTCTAGTATGTGTCATCTCTGGTAAATAGTACTTGAGTTATGCCATGCAGTGCTCCGTGTATGCATGTGGTAACACCTCAAATGCAGCGATACCACCAGCGCGGAAGCAATTGCAACTCGCCAACTTAGTCGCAGGGGACACTTACCGGGACGAAAGAAGAACGAATTGGGTACTGTTGGGCCAGTGTAAATAACTGCCACTCTGTAACTAACAAGCCTTGCGGCAGCTCAGAAACCACTAGGTTGTCATCGATGCGTAGCAACACAAATGTTGTCTTTTAGCGGAAAACTACACATGTTTTGGCTATCTTCTGGTTGTCATCATCGTCATTGCCCGCAAATACAAGTCTCGTCTGCAGCCGACCAAAACAAGAATAGATAGTGCATTAGGATTCGAACCGGTCTCAGGCTGTGAGCCGTTCGAGCACCTGACCCGAATACAATGGATGTGAGAAGAAATGGCTGAATTTTTGCTCCATCAGGAATACACGCTGTTTTATCCCAATACCCGTTCTAGGCTCCTGCGCAGGCAGGTTGTTAAATCACTACGGCCGAACCCGCTAACGAAACCAGAACAAGGGGCGAACACGCTCTGGACAATCTACTCAAAACAAGTGTCAGATAAGGGAAAGGCGTAATGACTTGCTATTGATCCATCGATGACACTCATCCAATCATTTGCAGGCTGCGGTGGGCAGGGAGACAGATATTGGAAATTGCCGTAGGCACTACAAAATGACCCATTCCCTACATGCGCGCATCAGCATGCGTGACGCTTGAGGTGCTAGGCGCTGCTTTGGACCTCGTTTCTGGACATTGGCTCCGCGTTCGGTCCAAAAGGATGAATAAAGCTATCTCGGCGGCCCTCCGCAAGCTCATAGGTTCCAGGCAAAATGACCGAGTAATTCTGATCGGACGCGATAATGCTGGCTGCCCTTTATATGCCTGCTATTTTTTAGCCTAACCAACGTCTCGGAACGCAACGGTTTGGATTGCTTTTTGTAAGAAGAATGACAACCTTGACGAAGTTCGAGTTGGTGGGGATAGCTTCTTTCCGTAGTAGTATTAGCTGCGCTTAACTTCGTGCGTAGCTTCCTGTCGAACATTAGTTCCCCTGGCGTGAGATCAGTCTCTCTGTGGTGCGACGTTCTGTGAATAAACAAAACCTAGACTACGGCATGATCCCAATGTATGCCGGACAAAGGTGCCATCTGTATAATTTGCTTTAGCGAGTGGTTTGTGCGCTCAATCATTCCGTTGGCGGCTGGATTATACAAGACAGTTCTTACGTGTTTTACATCGTCAAAAAAGTGAATCTCAGGCCAATTACTGTTAAAGTACGTGGCCATTAAACAGTTTCTCTGGTGATGCAATGTAGAATGGTATGATCCCATGATGTCAATCGCCACCTTCGGTATGGGGGCATTTGTGATAACCCGAGTATTAACGGCGCATTGTCGGATTCCACCGGATAATAAGATATACCCGAGCAATTTGACTTCAGTAGCATAAAAGGTGCACTGTCCGAGCTTAAGCCGAAGATCTAGGCTCTCCAAGCGGTGTAATACAGCACGTAGCCTTGAGTCATGCTCTTATCTTGATGGCACGAAAACGCAAATATCATCCATGTAAACGACATGTCCCGGTAGATCTGCTAGTGTGTGATTCATGAACTCGTGTCAAGCTACGGGAGCAGAGCTGAGCCTCATTGGTAAAACTGTGTACTGGAACAGACAGCTCGATGTTGGGAAAGCCGTTAGTGGTCTCGATTCTGGTGTTAATGGCATGTGGAAGAAAGCCTTCTTCAGGTCAAGTTTTGAGAAAAATCGGGCGCCAGTAATCTTGACTAGCAATTCATCGAATGTAGGAAGAGGGAAATTTTCGATGATAAGCTGACTATTCAACTCTTTTAAATCATTGCATATGCGCACAGTACCGTCCTTCTTTAAGACCGTGACCATGGGACGCAACCAGTCTGAACAGTTAATTGGCTCTACCAGATCGCTGGATATCATCTGCTGTATGGCTTTCTCTAACATCACACTTTTCTCCAACGCAACAGGACGTGGCTGCGATATTGAAAACGGCTAAGCGTCCTGTTTAAGGCATATGCGATCAGCGCCTGATGGAAGCTGGCCAATCTTCTCATCAACGAATTTGAGATATAAACCTTTAAGCACTGACGCATTGTGTGCCACGATACGCATTCGATCGATAGATGGGTTAAGAGCGACCATAGCATTTCCACCCAGAAAGGCTGGGCTGTCTTTAGATGCCAGGTACACATCAGTGTCCGATGCGACCGACTGTAGACTACTTTCCGTCACTATCTATCCACAGATGCACACAGGGACATGGGTGTAAGAGTCAAACTTGTACGAAGTGTGATGCAATGGAATTACATGTAAGTAATTGTCATAAAGGCTAGATGGAATGCTTCTCATTGGCTAAGCAGAACCTAATTCCATCGGCCGGGAAGCTTCGAGCCACTGCATTGACAACACCAACTCTAAAGGGAACTGATAGGAACACGTTCTTCTTAGGGACAGCAGTGACCGCTGCACGGCTATCGCAGACCACTGCATACCTTTTGTTGAATGGTGTCCGGTAACCGTTATGTTGCAGCATTTTGAGAATACGGATCTTTTCGGTCTCTAGCATCTCTTGGCTGTAAATTTCCGTAGCACGAAAATACAAGCAGGGAGCAAGGTTACGTTTGTACCACAAGGGTACAAAGCTTAGAAAATGTGTATATTGGCCAACGCATGTGCTCTTCCGGAATATACTTCTTTCCCATGAACCGTCATTTCTTCGGCTTAGCAACACGTCCAAGGATGCTAGCTTACTATCTCTTTCGGTTTTGGTAGTGAACTTCAACGATGGATGAGCACCGTTTAACTGGTTTAGCAGGCTGTAAACATCGGTGTTTGAATCGCAGATTATAAACGTATCATCCACATAACAACAATAGAAATCAAACGAAGCGATGCTAGATTGCATAGCTTCACGCTCAATCACAGCGCGGAAAATATCAGCAAGGAGTGGTCCTAGAGGGGACCCCATCGCAGCACCGTCAATCAGTCTGTAGTAGACTAAAATATAAGAATTGTCGGTTGAAGGTACACAGTAAAATTAATTCCTTCAGTTTCCTCACCGGAGTACCCACGGCTGTTCTTCTCGTTCACGTAACCACATAAAAAATTGACAGTTTCCATCAATGGAACTTTTGTAAAAAATGACTCAACGTCTAGAGAAAACATCAGTTTGTTATATGCTTTCATGCATTCAACTCGTTTCACAAATATAAATGTTTTTCACGCTGTATGTGCATAACGCCTTGTGTACTGGTTCGAGAAAAACCCGCAAGCCATTTCGCAACCGAGTGAGTAGCCGAGGCTGACATGCAGACTATCGGACCCAGAGGGACTTGTGGTTTATATACTCTAGATAGTCCATAAAGACGTGGAGGATAGGAACCCACTGGAGTTAGCTGTTCCAGAAGCACGCTATCTATTTGCTTCATACCATTCAGCTTTTGAACACTTGAGTGATTTTAAACTCATCCTGCGCGGTTTTGTATGTTTGTACCGTTTCACAAAAGAACTTACTCTCGTCTTGCAAAATGGACTGCCTTTTGAAAAAGTAGTCGCATCTATCCATCAGTACCGATTCGGAGCACTTGTCGGGTCTAGAGATCATTAAATCAGGAGTTGATTTTAATCCCTTGATGGCTTCTCTGTGTTTCCTAGTCAGGAGATTAGAAGATTTGATTTTGTAACGCATATACCTCTGAGAAAGATGCACCAAAGTGGTTCTAAAAGTATCTTTGCAATGGATGAAATCTGGAGGCAACATTTCATAAGCCCTTGTGATATCACATGGCAGAAGTACAAAGTCATCAGAAACTACAGCACGTCGCACATTAGAGTCGATAAGTACGAATGGCAGGAGCTCATGGTGCTGAAATTTACGAGAAACACCAAACTACTATACAGATTTGTGAATGGAAAAAGAAAGGTTAAGCCCGGAATACCACCACTCAAGATGGCCAGTGGCCTAACAACTACTGCCGTGGATGCCGCGAACCCTCTACTCTTGCAATCTAGCTCGGTAGCTACAAATACCATGGCACCTTCGTCCTATTAACTCCCAACAAATATCGCTGACTTATCCAGCGTCACCTTTACTCCAGCAGTTGCTGTAAGCAAATTACAATCTCTCTGGGAGTACAGTGCCCCTGGAATCGACATGATCTGCCCAAACGTACTGACAACCCTTTCTCTCACCACAGTAGCATCACTCGTAAACTTTTTACAAGGTCCGCTTAACTACCATACACTCCCATCTGAGTGGAAAACTGGGATTAGCACTCCAATATACAAAGGAGTTAAGTGATCGGATCCTGCCAACTATCGACCTACTACTCTCCTTCCTGTTTTATCCAAAGTGATGGAATCGGTAATCACAGATTAACTGACGTGATACATTGAAAGTCAACAAAGAATTCCTAATCCCCACCATGGTTTCAGACGCAGACGATCTTGTCTCACCAATTCGCTGATTACTCGGGACTCATGGACCAGGGCGGCTGGTGAAGGAGTCCCCATAGATGTGATTTACTTGGATTTTTCTCAAGTATTCCACAGGGTCAATCACTTCTTTCTCCTCCAAAAGCTTGCTGCTTACGGTAGCAACGGATCCCTGCTCACCTGGTTAGAAGACCACTTACACGACAGAGCAATCAAGGTAAGAGTAGCTGACACCTATTCTGAAAGCCTTTACGTCTCCGGTAGTGTACCACAAGGATCCGTCCTCGGCCCGCTCCTATTTTTAGTCTACATTAATGACCTTCCAGCAGACATTCTATCTCCAATGCAAATATTTGCAGACGATGCAAAAATATGGAGAGCTATTCGCTCAGCATCCGACCGTGTCTACCTCCAGGAAGATCTGACCCGGATTAACGAATGGGCAGAAAAGAACCAGCTCCCACTGAACCCTGCAAAGTGCCACCTGCTGACGGTGCACAACAGCTTCGTCAACACATACCTTTTGGGGCAACACGTCCTGCAACACGTGACTAGGGAACGCGACCTAGGTATAATCGTGCAAGAAAGTCTTGGAAATTCGCTCCAATGTTCGAAAGCAGCAAGTGTGGCGAATTTGAACTTGAGAGTTTTGAGGCGAGCTCTCGGCACCTATGAGCGACGGCTAGTACCATAGTTGATTAACTCCTACATTCGTCCTCATGTTGAATATGCAATTCAGGCCTGGTTTCCATGGTTAAAACGAGACATCCGCCTCTTGGAACAGCCCTAAAGAAGAGCCACAAAGGCAAGGCGTGAACTATCCGGTCTAAGTTACGAAATGCGTCTTCGTGTACTCGGTGTGTTCTCATTAGAATACCGACGGCTTCGCGGAGATCTTACTCTCACACACCGGATCCTAACCGAAAGCGAGCATCCATGTACATCACTGTTGACTCTGGCCCCATACAAACAAAGCCGAGGCAAACACCTGAAACTAATGACGCAACACTCTCGTCTGAATTGTAGAAAGTAGTTTTACTCACTTAGAATCTGTTCTCACTGGAATGCTTTCTCAAGCTATGTGGTGAACGCACCAGACATCACGACATTCGAGAGACTCTTAGACTTTCATCTTAGTGATAAACGCTACACAACAGTTTGATAAAGTGCAATGGCTGAAGCACAGATACTTCAGGTTCCACGTTGGAACATGTTGATTTTAGGTTTCTTTTGTATATCCATCCTGTGGGTCTTGCAAAATTATGCTTTTGATCCCATCACACACTATTGAACTATTGAAGTGAGGACGTACGTATTAGCTCGTTTGATTGTCGCAGCAAGTTTTCAAACTGGGTCTCCAGATGAATTTTGCCACACCGAGGCTGAGAGAAGCAAAATCTTGGTCCGAGTGCTAGTGCTTCAAGTTGCAGCTGACTCACCTGCAGGCTGGGTAGATTGTGGACATATTTTGCTGGATGTGGTGGTAACTTACGTTCTGGTAGAGTTGGCTCTAAACCTTTAAGCAGTTTCGCGTCGTTCTTCCACCTTAACACACAGTTCTTGGACATACTGACTGAAGGCATCGCGCTGGACTGCATCGAGCTCTTCTAGGCTTGAATCGTAAAGTGTAGTCGTTCCAACTCAGGGAATTGTGACTCAACAGTTGCATGCACACCGCTTAAGCGACCTAGTGGTAGGCGATATGTCACACCTTTTAAATGCTTTCCACTATCCCTTGGGAAATTGGTTGCGCTGTAAACATTCTCGTATGAGTCTACTATCGGTCCTCGCATCTGCAAGTCTGGTGTGAAACATCAGACATTTGTTGAAGTCACTAAACGCCTTGGGTTCCTTACTCTTTTTTAACTCGTAAATGAAACTCATGAAAATGCAAATGCGAAGATTACTCTTTTCGACAAATCTCCTTAGGCATTTACAATTATAAAGTGGAAGGGCAGAGCACAAATATTACGGAGGGCCGAAGCGATCGCGATTAGGATAATTCAACCGGAACTATGCAAACAAAATGCTTTGCTGCAAGGGCTTCTTCTACCTTGGCCCTAGTTAGCTTACCAACTTTTATCACTCCGTGCGCCTTGCAGTGATCGGATGGTGCGTTTGCATTCCACCAATCAACCAACAGGTGCTCAGTCACATGTGTATTTGTCGTGATCGCAATATTCCCACCTCTTTGGCTTCAGCATCTATTTGTACTCTGCCTTTCCTTTATACTTTTAAATGCCTGTGGAGGGTACTCTTCACAAAAGTGTGTTCTTACAAATGAGATGTGAAAATTCTTATTTCGAGAATCCCTTCGTTTCGTGGTAGTCAATGGTGGTTGATGTTGACAAATGATAAAGCTCTCGCACAACGTCAGATATCTACTTCGGCTGGCGAATCGAGAACGCCTGCCTCTTCATTGGTAACTGAAACCCGAACAGTCTGGTCCACCCAACTGCTACACCGAAACAGTCAAGATGGACAACAGGAATTCCGATCTGGCAACAATGAGGTACTACAGTGTCAAGGAAGAAGACTAACTTTTAAAATGATGAGCCAACCGACAAAGGAAACACGATGCGACTACTGAGTGCATGTAGAAGTATGTTCGGGTAACAAACTGCCATTTGCCACGTTTCGCTCTGACCGTTAGTTGACGATCCTACAACCATTTGCACAAGCTGCTCGTCAGGTCAGTGTCGAACTAACATTGAAAGAGCTTGAAGTACAATGTGTGTGTAGCACTTAGCTGGGGAAAAAGTTTACAGATATTTCAGTTGCTAGCCAATATGTGGGGATTACTGTGAGTCGCACGTAGTGGTGTCAGTGAGTCAAACATTTTCAACCCGAAATGATGTCGGTCAGTGAGAATTCCAAGCTTGGATAATCTTCCACATCAGCAGACGATGACCAGTAGATGAGAGTGTTGTGATCTGTAGACGTCGTCGTCAAACTGTTCGGGAAGTTGCTGACGAAGTGGGCACAAGGTAGGATCATGTCAGTAACTTTTTGGTAACAAGCTAGAGACGCGTCGTGTTAGTGCGGAATTTGTGCCGCATTTGCTTACTGACGATTATAAACAGAACTGTGTTTGAACTCAGCTATGATAAGCTTACCACTGGCAATGATAATGACAACTTCTTTAAGAACATGATGACAGACAATGGGACGCTGGTTTAGGGCTATACTATTGAAGTAAAGGTGCAGCCGTCGCGGTAGATGAGAAAAGAGTCTTCTCGTCCAAAAACGTATGCATGAGCTTATCAAGGATCAAAGGGATGTTGGTGTATCTTTTGACCGCAAAGCTTTTGTCCATCTGAAATGTGTACAACCTGGTCAGATGGTAAACAAGGAAGTTTACCGGGGCATTCTAACACCTTTGGTGGATTCCATGAGTAGGAAGTAGCCTGAATTGTGGGAAACGCATAAGGGGAGGTAGCAGTATGACAATGCGCCGGCTCACGCATCGCTCCTTGTTCACAGCTATCTAGCTAAGCATCCAACTCCCATCGTGTTCCAACCGGATTTCGTCCCAGCAGACTTTATGCTGTTTCCAAAAATTAATACCGCACTGAAAGGAGATCATTTCCGAACCGTAGAGGATATTGATGACAATGCGACGAAAGACCTGCAACGCCATCGCAGAAAGTGCGTTCCTGGAAGCTTTGAAAAATTGGAAGCATCATTGACAATGGTGTACTGTTAGTAGAGTGCACTATTCTGAACGGGACAGTGGTTGAAATGTTGTACAATGAGCGATAAATATAACTTGGCAAAAGTTCGCTTACTTTTTGAACACACTTCTTACTTCAGTATATCACGAGCACAACGTCATGAGCATGACTTCACTCACAACCAGCTAGTCGTTCAGTTGGGATCACGGTAAGAGTACACCTCTGTGGAAATGTGGATATAAGAAGCGGTATTCCACACCTATGTCGCCAGAATTAGCCCATGATGAAATTGTGTAAGTGATGGATGGCACTACCTGAGCAGGATTATCGTCGTTAATACATAGGTTCATCGTTTTCAGGTTTTTACATCACCATGGTATGCTGAGCTTGCAGTTTTGTGCACATCCTGAGGAAACACATAAGTCTGTGAGTGGAGGCCATGATAAGCTGGAAATCTGCGCACACCTCAACAAACATGGTAACTAGTTGTACACTGGCGATGTCAACTCCCACGGTGATAAGACGTTTTCAACCAACCTGTCAAGCTCGGGGAACAAATGAAAAAATTGCGTCGTCAACCCAAACTACCAGTATTCCGAAACATTTCAAAGCTAACGGTAACGTCCTTGCCTGCCCAAGTTTGTGTTGACACCTCACCTTGCACTTATCGGACCGATAGACGTTTGTCAGCCAAATCGTTCCTGAAAGGTTGGAGAACGAATCCGAATGACCAACCAGTATGTAGAATTAATATGGTCGGTTTCTATCGCATTCCTACTAAGTTGCTCAGCCTAGGCTACTTTCTCAATTTTTAATACTAGCTGCTTACAACTGGCGTTGTAATCAGTTTTAACTTTTAGGTGTAGGAAAGGAACTATCGGCTAACTCCACTAAACTGCCAAGTGCTATAGCTGGGACGAAGAAAAAACAGGAACCAGTAGCAGTCTACAGCGATAATGCCACCAAAAGGGGAAGTTCTTCAGCCAAGACGGCAAAAACGACAAGAAGCAGCACCTGTCCGCTCCTACGATAGAATTAATCTACTAGCTAAAATGTAAAACCGTCTCAATGCTACCGAAGAATAAGTTACATCACTGTAAACCGAACTGCTGCACTTTGGCACAAATTACGATCAAGTCTTGTCTTGCTGTGCATTACTTAAAGGCTCAAAAGGACGTGCACTTAGACACACTACACATGGCTAGTTCTATTCTATCCTTAATCACAACTGAGACTCAGGAACGTCGCCACAGCTCGACGAGTGTGCTTTTGTGTAAACGCACCTGCAAGATTGAGTATAGATAGTCAAAAATAGTTTGCTCGTGGCATGAAATACGGGTGGCTCTAACTGTGTATCAGTCTCCAAAAGAAGGCGACAATGAGAGGACGTCCCATTTTCCTTAAATTCGCGGACGAGGCAATGGCTGCGCATTTCGTACATAACAGACAGCTCATTGCAGCACGACTTGACTTTAAGAATATTCTTATCGGAAGAGACCAACTGCCACTACAAAGGCGGTTCGCACGTACAGCAAATCATGCAGACGCTCATATTTCTCACATTTACACCAATCGTGCTGATAACAATCTGGCCCCTTGACAGATCAGCAACATTGCCCCTAGCTAGAGATACTCACCAGCACTGAGTCCACCAACTGGCCCAGGAGGTATCATTGTACCGTAATGCTGTTCTGAAAATAATGGGTACAGGCACAGTGTAACTACAGTTGAAAACCCCGCAGAATTTAGTGCCAGATCATGTACCCCTTCTATAAGCAAAGAGCCCGTAAATTACCTGGCACCAATTAAAAATCACAGTGTGAATTGTGAAGCTAGGGATATCGGAAAGACGAATACGCTACTCCTTACTGAATATCCCAGCAACTATCCCAATTCCCAAGCAGAAATAGGTGGGATCGCAGGGCGTCGCATCCCTAGAATACTCCGAAGAAATGAGCAGCAGCCGAGAACACCCAAACAACCTCCATCAGGATATCAGCAACGCTAATTAAGTCGGCTGAGGAAAACTGTGCGCTGTCGCACTTCGTTATATATTATTGAGACGGAACTACTACGCACCATCAAACAAGTTCTTGCTACATATCCCTCTAACCCGGAGGTGGCAGTATCCTACTTCGAATAACGAAGCAACTTACGAAGCTCTCGATCTACTTATGGTGACATATGACCTCATACCTAAACTACCTTTCAATGGCAGCCTCAGTTTCTAGCCTACTCTCCACCGCCACTTCCTCTACGGAACTGTCCCACACTTCGCCAAATGAGCTTCATTAGGCCAGGATCCGCCCCCACCAATAGGGCCTCCACATACGACTATACAAAACCCAGTGAGTAATCGTTTGTTCCAGCATTTGCTTCGTTGGAGTCAGCACGTGTTAACGCACGTCCATGAAGACACAGTGTGTGTTATATCTATGCATACTGCCTCAAATTGTTCTCGTAATTACGCACACAATTTTTGACGTCATGGGGCTGGCGAGGTGTAGCAGTCATAAGCCCGAATGCTTGCCTGAAGCGCTCAGGTTCTAACCTAAACCTCCTCTTAGCGTCCGCTCATACTCCTCAGTACGAAGTTGCTTCTCCCATTATAGGAGTGAATGGCTACGATTCGCCAGCGCAAATTACTAGCTGAATTTTCTCCTATCGATAGTTATCATGGTGAAATATTGTGATCGGACAGACGGTTGCTAGTAGAACAACAACTACTATGAGCAGACTGGGCGGTCAATCGCCACGAAAACCACACTCAAAGGCCCGAAAAGTGAGAAAACTGAACTGCGCATGAAAGTCGTTAGCTGATTCATAAGCTACTCCGACAGAGCATTCGACTTCTTCGCTAGAATTATCTGACGTCCATAAAAACGTTTAGAGTAGGACTAGCTGCACAACTGGGAAATTGCCTTCTATGGCAATTTAACAACTAACTGGTCATCCAGCGTTTTTGCTAGGTGGTCACCATATGTTCTACTAGCTGGGAGCGAGATTGCATACAGTGCTTGCGCAATCATCATCTAAGAGTGCTCTGGTTGAGCTACTTATAGCAGTAATGTGTCAAGAAACGATGAGCTCACCGCAACTTTCGTCGTCCGATCCTTCATTTCCGGGTTCACAATCGGGTGGCTTAAAGCTATAAACATCCAGACCCAACACTTGGGTTGTTGCTTTGTGAAGTAAGTTTTCACCTTTACATTCCACCTTCAGACTCTCCAAGGACACGGTTCTCATTACACCCGTCTGTTCAGCGACAGTTTTCTCCCCAGCTTCTTTGCTATAGTGTTTAAGTCCACCGCGGTTAATGACATCAGAGGATTCAACTGCATTTGTGTGTGCCTCCTGCGATCCACGAGCTTGTGACGGCGGACGATCTTTGTTCACTATGTCCACAGAACTGGTTGTCGTGGGCCACAATTTGGACGGCTTGTACACAAAACTGCCTGGAGTACCTAATAGGGCGCGAATCCGATCAGCTTTGTCCCTCCGGCTCCCACTGCACACGCTTTTAGTAGTCGTTAGACGTAGGGAAGTCGCGTTCAATTTCCTGTAATGGGGTGGGCATACATACGCACAAATATAATGAAAACATGACCAACAATAATGCCACTAGCAGAGCCATAACTATAGATGCAAGCAACGAATGAAAAACTGTATTTGGATGTGGAGAATATTTAAACATTTCCAGCAGTACTTACGCTTCCTTCACGAGTTTTTTGTTTGGGCATTTAACCGCAGATGCTAGCAATTGGTAGATTTCCAAGGTGGGAGCACTTCAGGACGGCCGGATCTGATGTAGGCGCCTGGACACATGGAAATATGACTGCGAGTTGAAAACTGTGTTGTTATTCTTAGCCAGTGTCATCGCATATGAGGGGTCCGATGAGGTGACCACTGAGCCGAAATGTAAGGCATGGACTAGTGTCAATGAAACCCTTGCAGCGAAGTAAGTCAACTCCCTGGTCAGCAGTCTGTTCAATTCGAAAGTTGGTCAACAAACATCACCACAACATATATGCTCTGATGAAGGCGCTGATGGAACAAACACAATCCAGTCACACCGTTCATTTGGGTGTATCACGCCCCGCGACAACAGAACAGGGTTGTCTGTAACGCAATATTGTAGGACTAGTCCTTTGTGGAGCGAATGTAGATACGTCAGCGTGAGCCTCCGTGGAATGAGAAAACTATTCGGGATTTAAGGAATATGCGAAGGAAGTTCGGGAAGAATATAATCAACAATAAAACGGAGGTTGTTTCTCACATCCAATAGATTACCAGAATGAGTGGACACAGGAGTAGCTTCAAGCGTATCTATTGGAATGATTTTGCCCTTCGCGTTGGGAGACACCGTGTGATGTGAGTAACAACTCCACAACTATGACAGAAGTTAGGAGGGAAGCGATTCCCTCAAAATACTTTGATCATCATGTTTCTCGTTTCGTGCGCAACCTTTTGCGTTGTGGTGGATTAAACAGTGGGATATTGTATCACTGACATTTTCAGGGTGTTCTCTTGTTTGGTTTGCGTTCCAGTTGAGTTACATCTACAGGTAAGTGCGAATGTGCTCAGTTTTCCCAGTGTTTATTATTGAAACTCTTTGTGTGGTTATTGTGGTATTCTTGCATTTACCGACTTTGTATTGGTATGTGGAACGAGTAACTGTCATGATGAACATGATGCAGGTTACATAATGCGCCTGGACATCCCTTGTCCTCGAGACATTCGGTGCCATGTGGAACAACCCATGCGGAGGTGTTTGTGGACACCAAACGATGAATTGAAGCAGAAATACTTGTCGACCACACGTTCTACTGTTAGCGTACTACCACACAAATTTACGGGAACCTTCATTGTGCCATGTTCCGATAAACCAAAGACTGAAAAGACGAAGTTTAGGCGGCACTGTAGTCTAACATGACCCGGAAAATCAAAGTGTGTCCTCGGTGAATCTCGGAAAACAAGTACAGGTAACGAGTAAGTGTTCCCTTAGACGAATACAAAGAGGGCACACGCGGGAGCTGAACTGTCTGCCGTTCAACAAATTATGTGGTTATTGGCTTGCCTGTGGTGACACAACTTATGCACATGGAACAACCTGGTCTTACTTGGCGCTTTGGAGAAAACTGCGGACATTTAAGGTTAGGAAAATTCAAGGGCTGGTACGCTCCTCGGAATTTCCGACTATAAATACGACCCAAGATTGTGGTCCGGAAGCGATTCTCGAAACATCCAACTGAAGGTACATATTAAGACATCAAGAGTTTCCATACCGTCGACCAGCTGACGCCAGAGCCAGCACACCCTGGTTGGACAACAGCTGAAGCTAATGCATGGTTTGTAAACGCTAGGTGTTAGAAACGGACCGCTGGCTTGAATATTTGAATGATGGTCTTCGCACCGCTAACATCAATTTTTGAGGACATCAGAAGCGAAAACTGATAAACTGATCTATTTGAAGTCAGTCTCCATAAGCAAAACTGCTGGTTGGACTGAACGGGTATAAAATCAGAGAGAACTAAAAAAACGTAGACGGTGGGCCAGTGCTACTTGATTTTTCCCCCATATATTTTGGTTTGGATGCGAATGGAGACCTCATCTCTCTTAATACACAAAGCTTATCTTTTCTATGAGGATGGAAAACAACCAATGAATCTGTCCGGAATCGGAAGACAGTACTACCAGCTTTGGCTCCAAAATGATGTGAGCAAGACAGAGGTGAGTTGGCAACCATACCTCACTACCTAGCTAGAACCTTTTTAAGGTGCCTTCAGCTAGCGCGATTGTACGTTTCAACAATGAACCTATGCTTGCTTCAATAAACAGCTATCTCGTCCATTTATTCGTCATCTACCGACTTTTCCCTGAGGGGAAAGAAGCCCGAATTTATAGCGACCGAGCGATTCCGCTATAAACAGGTTGATTACGCTCCATGTGTGGCCATCGGTTCCAACCATGGGCTGCGCGTAGCTTTCACCAATGTTTGCAGTTTAATAAACCAATGTGACGACGGTGCCACTTCGTTGTCTCTTGTCGGCCTGACGTACTATGACTGGCTAATATCTGGTTGAGTTCTGAGACCATCTCCCATGAAATCTAGATGGAGGGCTACTCGTGCTTCCGGTGCGAAAGACTATCAAATGACCGCGGTGGTGTGCTGCTATACATCCGGTTCTCTGATAAGCACCTACCGAAGTGAGGGTGGCCTATGCGAGCAACGGTGGCGCTAAATTCACCTGAGGCGTGGCGTACTATTTGTGGGCGTAGCCTATCGCCTGCCAGTAAACACGGCCTTAGAGAAGTGCTGGTGTGATGGTTTACATCATTGGCACACGGCCAGACGGGAGATGGAAGTACGAGTGAAGACTTTCAAGGGACTACCTTGCTTGAATGCAGGTCCCCTGGATACAGTTCCACGAATGGCCGCATTGATTCACTTGAAAATTCGGATTTATCTGCAGCAACTATTGTTACTAACCACTCAATTACTTCGAAAGCTTCAGCCCATTAAGCGACTTAACAAATTCGTTCGGAAAATGCAATAAAAATACCCGCAAAAATTCATATGTTCCATGCGATTACACTGCACGTAATGATCAGGCCACTCAGTTGGACTGTGCCTCGCACAGTCCATGAACATATGGTTTATGTATTTATGTACTCTAAGGTCCCTTCACATAGACCCCAACGCACCTTGTAAGCTTTTCTTCAAGAACCGTTGTTACCGATGTAACAGTTGGACTTTAATGTAGTTGGCCTTTTAATTGCGCCTCGGCTGAACCGCCCTGCACTCATTTTGCGCACATTTCGTTGGGAAACACTCCTTTAAGATGGCTTCAAAGTAAGTTTATGATTTCCAAACGTCAATCAACCCCTCCTTGAGGTTCATAGCTAACTCCAGCAGAAGGTCATATTTCAGTCATTGCTCCGCTACTGCTACCAGACTATGAATAAAGGTATCAAGCATCGACTCGAACCACTCTTACTCCCGCCACCAGGCCAGTGCACCTCGGGAGAAGACAGCACCGTATTAACCAAGACATGGGGGATTCTCCCCCTGGGAGTTAAGGGAGATCCAATCCCTCCAGATTAGATCCATGCGTATGCACCAATTTGGGATGAACTCGCAACGCAGTAGGAGGAGAAGCCCACAAGGAAGTGGAAGGTTCTTCACATTGCTGGACAGTTCCCGAAGCGTGCTCAGATCGAACCTTCGCTTTCCTCGAACCTCTTAACTCCAACCTCACCATCAAAGGTCCGTGCAAGTTTATTCGAATACATTGGCAAGTTCCAGCCCAACTTTCTCAGCTGCCTATTGATTCCCTCCATAGTGCGCCCAGCTAGGGCTTATGGTAACTTCCCATATACCTGTTGCTTTTTCAGACCCTGTGAGAACCATAGGTCCGCTTGCTCAATTGCAACCCCGCATTCACTCCCCATGGACTCACCCTTCCTTTGGGGTACATCTGCCGAGCGTTCTTCGATGAGCTCCGCCCGATGCCCACGCTGCTGTGCCAGGCCCCTCTTGATTCCGAAAGACTTACCGCACATGCATACCCATTCTGTGCTGACCACTCAAATCATTCACGCTCTCTCGATCCAAGCCAACCACACGGCACATCCAATTCCGAGTCTCCTACAACATCTAGCACGAGTGGTCTCAGCTCATGATCGATGACCGTGCGTCTCAGCCGACGTCATTGTACCCACATCACTCATCATCAATGTAGGCTCAGGTCCATGCACATGAACGCATGCAGACCCCGGAACGCCGGGTTAAGGTTCCTAGGAGAACCAGGTCACGCGTAAGCGTTCCAAACAAAGACGAGTGCAACACATGCCACACACCTGGTCCCTACTTCACTACGGCAAATCCGAGATAGGCGCACGCACACAAGTAGACATACAGTTGCAAGGAGTGCATCATCATCATCATCATCACTACACGTTAGCTGGAGGTGGAAAACACCTCAGCTATTGTGCCGCAATACAAAAGGCAAGAAAAGAAAAAACAAACAAACAGTGGCACGCCCGCTGAGTCCCCAGTAACGGATGGACATCGTTCCGGAGAGCTAACAGCTGGCTGCCGTAAAAGAAAGTCATATTATGCCTAACGATTGAGATCGTGATTGGAGGGGGATGCTAAACAGGAGGGGGATGGACAAAGGAAATCACAACACAAACGCCATTGGGGCCGGCTCCTAGCCATATCAGCAAGTGTGTCCAGCCAAACGTGTTCACCGTCCTTAGGACCCCAGCCAGGCAGTCGGGATGCACCAACCGACGCCAACTTCGAAGTGAGGGTTTTCATTTCTCGCGACCAAGTCATCACTTGGCCTCCCCTCCTCCTCTTCCAACCGCACCCACAACGCGCAAACAATGCACGTCGTGGGAGTCGGTGTGCTGGCATGCGCAAGACGTGGCCCAGCCATCGGAGCCTGGTGCGTGATATAATCGTGCTGAGCGGTTCACTCGCTCTTCCTGCACCAAATACGCGACGTCGAACACGCTCATTGCTCACGCGGTGTTCCCACCAGACATGAGCTA